TTAATCTCCTTCTTATAAGGTGATTTAACCGCCATATGAGATTCAAGTCATGACGCTAGTCCATGTGACAATCTCATGCGGGTCATCCAGTAACTCGTTCCAAACGAGAACCCATGATTGTGATTTGCATCTAATGCATATGATCATAATCATCTATCACACATCATGCTGGTCTTAATTCATCATTGTTCCCACAATGATAACTGACCAGGGAATTTAGAATCATCTGCAATGATTCAAGGGTATTTACCGTAATATAACAAACATGCTAATCATATAACGGGAAAAGTAATGCATTCATAAACCAATGAATCAATACATAGTCAAAATGTCATATCACGGATCATCGTAGAGCATTACAACCAACAGAGGAGACGTGCACATTTGCAGAGTGTCGACAGATGACAACATTGCCGATCCGTTGACGAAGCCTTTCCCTTCGTCGAAGCATGAGGGTCATGTTAGGGATATGGGCATTAGATGTTTAGCAGTCCATGATTAGAGCAAGTGGGAGATTGTTGGTTTAGTGCTCTATGATGTACTGTTTGCGAGCTTTCTTTGGATACATTTGATGTATTGATACTTTCTATAGTTTTATGAAAGTGTTTGATTCATTACATGTTGTGCATACTAGATATGTTGTGAAATCCATGTATTGTTATGAACAATACTAAACTCCCTAGTCATGTATCATTGTGGGAATAATGATATACTAAGACTAGTATGATGTGTGAATGATGATTATATAGATGATCATAGGTATTGGATACGATCACAGTCATAGGTATTCGTTGGAGAACGGAATACTGGATTGACCCGCATGAGATTGTCACATGGACTAGCGTCATGACTTGAATCTCATATGACGGTTAAATCACCTTATAAGAAGGAGATTAAAAACCCTAATTGAAAACGAGACTTTTTGAGCCGTCTGGTACAGAACTTTGAGAGTTTTTAGGTGAGATCCAAAGAGTTCTAAGAGTTCCAAGTCTCATTTTCTCGAAGCGCGAAACCGAATAGCTGATTCGGGTCCTAGCAGACAAGTTCCAACCGTTGGAATCCATCCCGAGGTGTGGATACGTGTAGAGGGCGAGGTATTCTTCCTCCCTTTCGTGATCAGACGAACTCTTCGATTGATACAGGCCCCGGATCGATTGAGGTAAGCGTTCTAACGTTTCTACGATTCATAGAAGTATGGTTCTAAGGTTTCATTCAAATTTTTGTTCTATATTTGCTGCGCAAACCCTAGAATCGATCTCTTAGGAATATGATTCGCTCTAGAGATTCCAGGAATCCCATCAGGGGCACAGGTAAAATTTTAATGGGGGCCTCTTATATTATTTATCAAAAATTTTAAAAAATTATAAAAAAAATTAAAAATTGAGAAAATTTGCATAAATGTACCAAAAAAACATCTTTGCATTCTATACTTTTACTATTGTAATCTTTGTATTCTATACTTTTTTAAGTTAAAATGACCATCATATCCTTCTATATTATTATAACCTGCAGATTTTCTGCATTTATAAAAAAATATTTGCATGAATTTCGTTTTCCTCTACATACATGAAAAAACACTTATATGGATTTTGTTTTCTTATATAAATATAGAAAAAACACTTGCAAGTTAGCAGGTGCGATAGGTGCCGTAGGTGCCAAAGATGACCTGCCGTAGGCAACAGGTCATCTGGCAGACCGTAGGTCAGCTGCCGTAGGCTGTATAGGTCATTTACCGCAGAGCGTAGGTCATTTTTCACAGACGGCAGGTCATCTTCTACAATTTTCTTTTATAGACATTTCATCAAACACCTTATGTGCATACAAAAAATGTTCAGAATATCACAGAAAAAGAAATCAACCAGAGGAGTATTTGAATACATTAGATAAACTGTAAGAAATAGAGAAGATAGAGAAAATGTTGGAGACCGCAGATCATTTGCGGCAGGTCCGCATGGTGATCGCAGGCCAAATGACCTACCGCAGACTGCAGATCATTTGCGGCATATCACAGTCATCTGCCAGAGACCATAGGTTATTTAACGCAGAGTGCATGTCATTTTTCACAGATCGCAGGTCATCTGCCGCAGTTTTTTGGTACATACATTTCATCAAATACCTTATGTGCATGCAAAAAATGATTAGAATATTTCAAAAAAAAAAATCAACGAGAAGAGTATTTGAATAGATTAGATAAATTATATAAAAAATAGAGAAGATAGAAAAAATAAGATCAAATAACAAAGCGTTCCGATTTCTAAAAGATAGATTGTCACAAAAAAATGATCATATGAATACTATAGAAAAAGAAATGATGCAGAAGAATATGTGATTGATGAGATAAATTGAAAGAAATAGAGAATATAGAAAAAAATATTAGAGAAAACAGAAGGTCGTAATCGTAGTTATATGGTCGTAATGAGTCGTAGTCATAGTTATATGATCATAGTGAATCGTAGTGAGTCGTAGTTATATGGTCGTAGTGAGTCATAGTGAGCCGTAGTGAGTCGTAGTCGTAGTTATATGGTCGTAGTGAGTCGTAGTCGTAGTTATATGGTCGTAGTGAGTCGTAGTGAGTCGTAGTAAGTCGTAGTAAGTCATAGTTATATGGTCGTAGTAGTGAGTCATAGTGAGTCGTAGTGAGTCGTAGTGAGTCGTAGTCGTGGTTATATAGTCGTAATGAAATCACAGTCACAGGTTCGCAGGGCGATAGCCGCAGGTCCGCAGGAGGTCGCAGGACGATAGCCGCAGGTCGCAGGGCGATAACAGCAGGTCGCAGGAGGTCGCAGGACGATAGCCGCAGGTCGCAGGCGATAGCCACAGGTCGTAGGAGGTCGCAGGACGATAGCCGCAGGTCGCAGGGCGATAGTCGCAGGTCTGCAAGGCGATAGCCGCATGTCCATAGGCCAAATGACCTGCCGCAGACCGCAGATCATTTGCGCTATATCATAGGTCATCTGTCAGAGACCATAGGTCATTTAACGTAGATCGCATGTCATTTTTCACATATCTCAGGCCATCTACCGCAGTTTTCTAGTACATATATTTCATCAAACACCTTATGTGCATGCAAAAAAATGATCTGAATATCACAGAAAAAAATCAATGAGAAGAGTACTTAAATAGATTAGATAAACTATATAAGAAATAAAGAAGATCAAATAGCAAAACTTACCGATTTTTAAAAGATAGATTATCACACAATCGTAGAGAAATACTGTAAATGGTAGTTTGGATATTTAGAAAAAAAAAGTATATTATGCAAAAATTGTTTTTTTGTGATATATTTTGCAAATTTCGTTTTTATTTTGGTACAGTTTGCCAACTGCCCCTTAAAAATTTTAGGGAGGCATGGGACCCCATTGGTCTACACAGATCATGTGTGCTACACAGGGTCTTCTATAAAGATGTGTAATTGAAAGATGTGTAATTGGAGCTTTCTGCACTATTTGAAATTTTATCATATTAGTCTTAGTATATCATTGTTCCCACAATGATATATGACTAGGGAGTTTAGTATTGTTCATAACAATACATGGATTTTATAACATATTAAAGTATGCATAACATGTAATGAATCAAACACTTATCCATAAAACCATAGAAAGTGTCAATACATCAAATGTATCATAAGAAGGCTCGTAAAACAGTACATCATAGAGCACTAAACCAACAAGTCAAACGTCACACGTAACCAAACTTGTAAAATCCAAAAAACCGTGTATATCACCGTTGGAATCGAATACTTACCTCTTCTTGAAGTAAATCTCGATCCGGGGCCTGTTTCAATCACAAGAGCTAAAAGTACAGCTGCTCTACACGTATTCACACTGACGGGAAGGATTCCAAACGCTTTTGGAACTGATCTGCCAGGATCTGTGAAGTGATTAGGGTTTCCAAAACTTGGGATCGAATCCCGATAACTAGAACCTCAAAAGGAACGATTTTTCTAATGTTCTAGATTTGTCTAGGAGTTCAGAAAGTCTCTCTCTTGGTTGGGGCAGCGTCCCCTAACCTCTTTATTAAGTTTGAAACCCTAATCTTTGGAAAAGGAAACTTTTCACCGAGATTTGACTCGGTCCGAGTCAAACCTTGACTCGGTCGAGTCAGAACGAATCAGTCCAAGCCATGACCAAATTTTGACTCGGTCCATTTAGATTTGACTCGGTCCGAGTCAAGTTTTGACTCGATCGAGTCAAAACATCAGCCAAGCCCAAAAAACATTTTCTGGACTTCGACTCGCATGTTCACCTAAGTGGAACTGACCGTTTCTCGACACTCTGATTTGATAAAGAAGATCAAATAGCAAAACTTACCGATTTTTAAAAGATAGATTATCACACAATCGTAGAGAAATACTGTAAATGGTAGTTTGGGTATTTAGAAAAAAAAAGTATATTATGCAAAAGTTATTTTTTTGTGAGATATTTTGCAAATTTCGTTTTTGTTTTGGTACAGTTTGCCAACTGCCCCTTAAAAATTTTAGGGAGGCATGGGACCCCATTGGTCTACACAGATCATGTGTGCTACACAGGGTCTTCTATAAAGATGTGTAATTGAAAGATGTGTAATTGGAGCTTTCTGCACTATTTGAAATTTTATCTATTAATTAATATATTTAAAAAAATTTAAATATTAATTAGGTTTAAAAATTATAAAATAAACAATAAATATATAATTGAAAAATCTATGAGATGGCTCCTACATATCGGACTTCACTTTTACTCTCTTTCACCGTAGCTCACCACCATGATCATGGGTTTATGGAACTAGCTCGCTAGACTTTTACTCAACTCGTCGTTTTGACACCTAATGTATCTAATGTGCCTTCTTTATTAATAGAACTAACTTTTCAAAAAAAGAGGGGGGAATAGTTTTGTGCAAAAAAAGGAGAATATTATTTCCCTTTTTTTAATCAATTTTCTGTTATTTCAGGAACTCCGTTAAACTTTGATTAGAGGGAGAAACTACAGAGAGAGAGAGAGCTCGGACTGTCGCCGGGCATGGTGGCTCTGGCTCCGGTGACTACATGGATACCCCGAGATGACCTTCTCTTGAAACACGCCGTCGAGGTGAGCTTCTACTTCGTCGAATTTCGTTTACCTTCTCTGTTTCTTTCTCCAATTTCTTGATATGGAGTTTGAGCCGTTGTCTCGATTTCGGCGAACGATTCCGAGTGGAAATTTCTTTAAGTTTTCGGTCCTTGAGCGTGTTTCCAAGCGATTGGATGATTACGTGTTTAATCGTGTTCGAAGAGTGCGAGTATGCGGAGCTTGTGCTGTTGTTTGCCATTACCGGTACTGTTAATCTAGGGCTGCTACGTATCTGTAGGGACAGCAAAAGAGTGCCTTTTAAGTTTGATATTACTTTGTTGTAACTACTTCTGTATCTATCTTAGATTAGCTTGTTTGGCATCCAGCAGTTACATATTCACCAGTCTCCATAATTGATTTTCAGGCAGGTGCATCTTTGGAAGCACTCGCTAAAGGTGCAGTGCAGTTTTCCCGAAGATTCACTATCAGGGAACTGCAAGAACGATGGCATGCACTCCTTTATGACCCAGTTGTTTCTGCAGATGCTGCGTCTCGCATGGTGGATCTTGAACGCTCCAACCCTAATATTCTTTCAAAATTTGGTAGAGCTCGAAATTCAAAAGAAAATAAAAGTTCACTTGGAAAAAGGAATGCTGAAAAAGTTTACAGTGCCTACCATTCCTTGCGAAAGAAATTTCGTTTGGAGCCATTTAGTTCGATGGATCTAGCCTTCCTTCTTCCGCCAAATGACAACCATTTCATTGGAAATGGAAATGCAACACATTTAGGACTTGAAGAGTCTCACATGGATATTATCCACAAGGCTTTTCCTGAAATTTTGGCAGATGAGGGCTGTGTGGGGAGATCTAATAATCCAATTGAGGATAGTCATCCTGTTCAGGCAGACAATTCACAAGGTGAAATCCCTCATGTAGTTGCAGGGGATCTCGCGTTCATTCATAATGCAGGTTCTTCTGGATATAATGCTGTTCACGAGGACTCCAAGATGAAACTAGAGATAGCTGATCAGGAACCGAAGACTGCAATGCCTAGCGCTGATTGCTTCCTGGCAGAGCTTTCAAATTCTCTTGTCAATGATGTGGATCCTTTCATGGACGTACGAGGTAAAGACATTGACAAATCGTATTATGATGGCTTTGGCTCACTTTTGGTAAACGCCACAAATAATACGAAACAAGGGGCTTTGCCTAGCTCTAACGAGCAAAAAACATCTGCTGCACAAAATAAATCAGGAGATGCCAGTCCAGGTGATCATGAGACGTCTGAACTGGATGGTACAACTGTAACAAGCTCATCTGAGGTTAAACCAGTGTCTGACTCACTTGCGATAGATCCTCATCCTGAGATAGTTAATGATGTTATATGCTGTGGATTAAACACAGAGTACCCGGAAATTCCTTGTAATGATGATGTATTCCTATCCAACAACTGCCATCCAATGTCAGTTTCATCCTTGGCCCGACGAAACTTTAAAGATTCTAGTAATCAAGTATCTATGTTTTTTAGAGATATCTCGACCAGTAAAGAGAGAAATGTGGGAAATTCAGTGAATATGCCGAAGAATCCTGGACTATCACAGGCGTCTTCTCAGGGAAAGCCAGAGAAGGGTCAGCCAAGTCAAGGTACCGAATACAGGCCATTCCTGAGTACTGAGTCGCATAATACCATTTCCAGAGTCATGGCTATCAGTTCTGGTGGTTCTTCTTGTGCAGGCTCTGCACAGAAATGTTCGAATACTCAATCCACAGCGTCGGTAGATGGAAACATTGCAGTTGAAACTGCAAAGCTTATTCCGGGAAAATCCTCTATGAGATCTGATGGCCATGGAAAGCTTTCCAAGAAAGATGTTGGAAACAGTAAACTGGAACAAGGAGTCCTAGTCGTTGACAATCCACCACATGCAACACATGATGATGATGGCTCGATAGAGATGGTAATCGCTGAACCGGAGGTCAATTCATCAGTGGATGAACATCTCGACGATAGTGATGAAGAGTTGCCTTATTATTCTGATATTGAGGCTATGGTAACACGTAATTTCTGTTCTTATTATGCATGATTCATATTTCCATGTATAAAAAGTTGTTTGCATTCAATTTTTTTTCTCTCAGTTTTTGAATTCTTTTTATTTATTATGCCTTAACCCAAAAATATCGCTGTCAATTCAGATACTTGATATGGATTTGGATCCTGATGATCACGATGTTTTTAAGCGTGAAGGTAATTCAGCATCTCTTCACATTCAACATAAATTATTTTGTCCTTAAGTGTTTTATTTTCTCCCAGATACTCTAACATGTGGCACAGCTATGAATATTCACAAGTTTGCGTGATTGGGACCTGTGAAATCCAATTCATGTTACCGTTCTATGGCATTTTGTGGTGGAAACATACGGGTTCTTGTTGAGTGTGGCACGCAAGCATTACTTGAAGTTGGAAAACTGAGTTGTATAGTTCATAATGTATTGGACTGCGTTGTGGTTGTTTGTCACTTACAGTTGCCAAGTATCAGAATGAGGACACCAAAAGAGCAATTGCCAGACTTGAGCAGGCTGCTTACTCATACATGCAAAGAGCCATTGCTTCGCATGCCGCTTTTGCTGTTTTGTATGGCAGACGTTCAAAACATTACATCAAGAAACCCGAGGTATTATGATTATAATATATCAATTTGGAGCATCTTCTCATTGTTCTTATCGTTGATTAGTGAAACCTCCAAGGAATGATAATCTGTTTAGAGCATTAAGCATTGTTCCTCTATGGTCTGGTCCTGCGTAGGTTCTGCTTGGCAGGTCAACAGAAGACCTCGTCGTGGACATTGATTTGGGAAGAGAAAAGCGTGGTAGCAAAATATCTCGACGGCAGGTCATGCTAGAAGCTGTTTTTGATTATTTGCTTCTGTAATTTTTGTGGGAACTGTCCCTGAATTCTTAGAACCTCGTGATTTTGCACAGGCCCTCATACGTTTGGAAGATGACGGTTATTTTCGTGTGAAAAATCTTGGGAAGTATCCTATCTGGGTAAATGAAGAGGAAGTCGATCATGGGCAGATTCTAATCCTCAGATCTGAGTGTCTGATTGAGGTTTGCTCCTGTGGATACATACCTTTGATCACAAACTGATGTATTACAAAGTTGGCACTTATCCTGGATGTGATTAAATTGTTTGGCAGATAAGGGGAATTCCTTTCATCTTCGAGACACACGAAGCACGCATCAACGAACACCTGAATAGCATCGGGAAGGGTAATTGTCATTGAGATGGGTAAATGCTTCTCATACTGTTTTGTATTGTGCTTTCTAAGTAGCGTTAGTATCTCAAAAGTATTGTTTTTTAGCTGCTTTGCCTAATCACCTAACCTAAGGACCGAACTAGGATGCCTTCTTACATATCGAGTCGATAGCATGTATAGCCGAGCGAGTTAAAAGTGTACTCTCCCTTTGAAACTGATTAATAACTTCAATGCAAGAAAGTTTTGGTTGGATTTTGGATTTTGATTACTTCTTTTTCTGGCCATATACATACACTCAGTCGTCGACCAGAAATTAGCGGTTTTTGCATTCTTAGTCTGTTTCGGGTGGTTCCACTGAAGCTACGTATTAGGAATAGTTTCTCACTTTGAATCTGCATCCTACTTCTTTATCTTTAATTTATTTTAAGCCCTGAGGGCTTCGCATTTAATTTGACTGTTGACTACAAATTAGGATACTTTAGCCACATGTGCATGTTCTGTTCTCTTTCCAAATCTCAGATCATACGAAGAAAAACCCAGAGGAGAGACAATGGCAAGAACCATAGCTATCTCTCACTCTCTTCTGTTGTACGCTCTCATCAATCTTCACGTTCACATTACCCGTAGCTCCGGAAACACACCCGGATGATGTGGAAGCCCTCAAAGATCTGAAGAAGAATGTGTTCCCTTTCTCCATACCCACCGGTTCATGCCTCAGCTCATGGGACTTCTGCGTTGATCCGTGTGAGCGTATCTTCAGCAATCGGTTCACATGTGGTCTCAGGTGCGATCAGGTCGTGTCGGGTTTCACCCGTGTCACCGAGATCACACTTGACCCTGTTGGCTACTCAGGTGTGTTGTCTTCTTGTTCTTGGAACTTCCCTTATCTTCAAACCCTTGATCTGTCTGATAACTCTTTCTTGGGTTTGGTTCCTGAATCGATCTCAAACCTTACTCATCTCCGGCGACTTAGTCTATCCAAGAACTCGTTTTCCGGACAATTACCCGACTCTCTCGGCTCCCTTCTACACCTCGAAGAGCTCCTTCTTGATGATACTCGTCTATATGGGCAGTTACCGCTGAGTTTCCGTAACCTCGTGAGCCTGAAACGTCTCGAGATTCAGCGAAACCGCATCTCCGGAAATTTTTCCCATCTGGGTTCGCTTAGAAACCTCTTTTTCCTTGATTTGAGCGACAATCAACTCTCGAGTGAGCTCCCTACCCATCTCCCGACCTCTCTCGTGGAACTTGTTGTCCGAAACAACCACCTCGTGGGCGAAATACCTAAAATCTTCCACAACTTAGTGTTCCTACAAGTCCTTGATCTTAGCCACAACAGATTATCCGGCTCGGTCCCGTCGACTATCTTCCGCCACTCATCGCTGTAGCAACTCACTCTCTCACGCGGGCAAATTTCAGCACTATACCTTTGCTGTCGCACCCCTATCATCGATACACTCCAAAATCATAAATAATTGTTAAAAGACAATATAACCCTTAAAAAGTTAGGAAAAATCTATCTTACCCTTATGTAATGCTTAAACCTATGCAACATAAGAAAAAAACTCTCTTATAATAATAATAATAATAATAAATAAATAAAAAAGTTATCGTTTTTTATAATAATTTTAAAAATTAAAAATCATACAAAAAAAGATGGGATAAAAATCGAACGAATATAGAAAATCGTAAATACAACAAAAACAAAGTTACAAAGAAATAGTTGCAATTGTAACAAAAAAAGAGTAGCAATTGTAACTGAATTCGTCTAAATTTGAATTTGTGTAAAAAAATAAATATTGAAATTAATTAATAAAAACTACATAGACAAATTAAAGCACGAATTATTTAAAAACCTAACAATTGTGTGTCAAATGAGAAACACTTAGAAAAGTATTTATGGTAAAATTTATATAAAATCGATCTTGTGTTTAAAAAATAAATATAGAAAGTCGTATATACTACAAACAAAAGTGGCAAAAAAAGAATAACAATTTTGATCAAATAAAAGTGGGTACAACCAAAAATAAAAAAACGACGTTTTGTCTCGGGAATCGGCCACAACCAAATATTTACGACTTGATCACAACTCATTTGCCACCAACGAATTCTTATAAAATTGTTAAAAGATCGCGAATTTTGACTCGATTTTGTCAAATAATGATAGAAATCTATCAATTAATTGATAATAATCGGTTTACATTAACATTTTCAACAAATTTAATATTTTGGTATATTTTATATAATATGGTTGAATGTGTTTATATAAGTTTAATATACATTTAGTCTTACATATCAAGAAATATACCAAATTTTTAATAAAATTGTAATTTATGACTTAAAACTCTTTTTATTGATATAATTAGTATATATCTATCACCATTCAAAAAATTATCGAAAAAATACATGTTTTACATATTTTTCTAATTTACGAATTCATAAACAAGTCGTATTTAAGTCGTAATAAATTAGTTTTGACAGATAATAAAATAAACATACACGTTTTTCGATATGTCAGATATTTATCTTCTTACACCGTAGAGTTTTTTTAGTTAAAATATGTTAGGGTATTTAGTACATTTTATATGCAGGGTTAAATAGGTCATTTTACCACTATTGGAGTGTAAAATCTGATAGGAATTTTTTTTACAATTTCAGGTGTGTATCAATGATAGCCCTGCGATGCGCGAGGGGAATTCTTGAAGTTTGGCCCTCTCAGCAATAACCTCACATCGCTCGAATCGCCCGAAAAAGACGGAGAAAGTCGTAGAAAGTTGGTGGCAATCGATCTTAGCTACATTTTGTCCGAATGCCGAAGCTCTCGACCCTCTCATTAGAACACAATCTCTTCACCGGGATGATCCCGTCGGAATACGCCTTGAGAGCGGCCGCAACAGCTGTGGATGTGAATGGCACGGTGCCGTTCCAGAGGCTGCTTCTGGGAGGGAACTATCTCTTTGGGCTGATCTCGGCGCCGTTGTTAGGGCTGACGCCGGATAATGCAGACGTCAGCTTAGCCGACAATTGTCTTTACCAATGTCCTGACATTTTCTTCTTCTGTCAGGGCAGAGATCAGAAGTCGTTGCTCGCGTGCAAGAGATTCGGCCGTTTCATTCCTTAGACAATAGTTTTATTTACTTTTTGTTTCGCAAATCGAAGCTACCCAAAAAATTAGAAATTAATTTCAAAAAGAGAAGATAAAGCAGATGGAGAAATTAATTTCTTGGCTTGTTCTATATTTGAATATCAGTAATAAATTTCGGTACAGTTAATAATTTTATTTTGTTTGTATAAATAAAAAGTGGGTGTGTTTGGGAGAGTCCCCCAGCCTAGTGGTTAGTGACAACTCCCCTCTACCAAGAGGTTGTGGGTTTGAAACCCAGGTATGGAAACTTCCCTTGAGCCGATCAGCTTTACGAGATTGGTTTACCTACTCTGCGTGGTTTGCCGACTACTGCGTAGGGCAGTGGGTTTTTTCAGGTCCGCGATGCTGTCCTGATGTCATTCTCGTCCAGTCTATGGGTTGAGAGACGTTGCGGTGTCCGGTGTCCGACCCGAAGGGTTGTAGGATAGGGGTTTCCCATCGTAACCAAAAAAAAAAAAGTGGGTGCGTTTCCAAAGCTCTGACATTTGGGATTATTAAGCATATCAAGATCTAATGACACGTGATAGGTGGAGATATTATCTCTCTGCATAGAATCTGTACAAAAGGCCGACATTACCAAATCCAATGAAAAATTAGGGGTTTTGATAAGATGGGTCCAAAAAATAATTTAAAAATGTGTCAAGAACAAATATTTTTTTTTTGGGGTTAATCCCATAAAAATTACTGAATTTGTCTCACACTGTAAAATTAATTCCTAAACTTGCATGCTTCCATAAAAATTACTAAACTTAAAAAATATATCAATAGAATACCTAAACTTGTTAAAAACTATTACAATAAATTTTGACCAACGTTGATTATACACGGCATTAAATGTGCATGACATAGCAGAAAATATGTATTGCCACATCATAGAAAATAATTTTAAAATTCGATTTATTGAACCGGAATTAAATCGGACCGGTTTCAATCGGTTTTATTGAAAATAATAAAGGAATAATGCACAATAACTCATCCACTGTTCTCTATTTCTTCTTCCCTTTCTTCCCCACTGTTAATGCAGAGCCTCCATTTCTCCTCTTCTTACTATGTTCTCTTCCTCCTCTTTACGCATACATAAAACCCGATTTTCTTTTGGGTAAATGATGGGGTCATCTGTTTCATCTTCTTTGTTTTGGATTATGTCTTTTTTTCTTTTATTCTCGTAGTTCATTTTAATGTTTTCCGTTAGTTTGATCTTTCTGATTAACAATCCATCAGAATTTTCATATTTTTGTTATGATTTTTTCCTCTTTGAATTTGTTATGGTTTTCTAGATCTGGGGTTGATTTCAAAATTCTCCAGATTCACAGTTGTTGTGAAACTAAGTAATGTCAACATTTTGTTTTTATAGGTTTCTCTCTCTTTGGATTTTTTTTTGTTTTGCTTCTGTTGATGACTACGCTGTATCGGAAGGTCCTGGATCTTCTTTTAAAGAGAACAAGAATTTAGATTATGAGCACCAGAGATCTAAAACCCTCGGGAAAGTTCTATTGTTTTGATTTCATACCTTGATCATTGTAAATTCAAATTTCCGAAGAGAATGCAGTCAAATTTTCGAAGAGAATCCGAAAAATTCCTACGACTTGAAACATATATATCTATGGATTGGCTACTGGGTAATGTTTAGGGTTTCTAACAAAATATAATCGCGATTGAGATTATAAAAATGAAAAGAGAAGAAATTTTTAAAAAAAATTGAACCGGATCAGTTTAATATCGGTCCAACCAATCGAATTTTAAAATTATTTTCTCTGACGTGTCAAAAAGTTATGATGTGGCAATACACATGTACTGCTATGTCATCCACATTTAACGTTGTGTAGTCAACGTTGGTCAAAATTTATTGTGACAGTGTTTAGCAAGTTTAGGTATTCCACTGATATATTTTTAAAGTTTAGTAATATTTATGGAAGCATGCAAGTCTAGGAATTAATTTTCTGAGACAAGTTCAGTAATTTTTATGGGATTAATCAATTTTTTTTGTGATTTATGTTATTTTTTATTAACCATATTACTATATCTATTTATTCACTTTTAGTTATATTTCACAGATTTATTTTTTTATCTTCATTACCTTGGTAAATAAACGAAATACTTTGTTATTACGTAGTTGCTATTTTACAACGAAACGTAAAAACGAATTTGTTTCGTTGCTAAATCATCTGATTTATAAAAAAATTAAAACTTCTTAGTAATGAAATTTAACCATGAAATATTTCGTTGTTAAGGAAATCATAAATATTTTAACGAAATATAGCAAGAAATTATTTCGTTGCTAATTTAAAAAATAAAAACAGATATACTTTATAATATTAAAATATTTAAATAAATTTTCCCCCTTATCTTATATCTTTGGACACTGAATTTGAGAAATTGTTGTCCAAAATTTGAAACCTGAAATATCATATATTATCATTTCATGATATAATTATTCTAAATTTGTTTTTTTTAGAATTTCTTATTTTTTTTGTTAATATGTCTTCAATAAAACCTCGGTGTGGAGCACAGGCTCTCGAAGCCTTGGATTTAGATGGAGGCTTCAAAAGGACGGAAGGGCAGCATCGTCATTTTGGCTGGGACGCGTTATGAAACCCTAAGGGGGTTTCATTTATGTGTGGTTATTCTCGACTCTTCTGTTGTTGGCTCTTTGTTCAAGCGAGTTTCGGTGGACTTCGGCGGCGTCTCGGTCATCTAGGTAAGTCTGAGTCTCGGTGGTTCCGATCTGAGCCTTCTGACGGTTTTCTTTAGTGTTTCAGGTTCTGAAACACGGAAGGCGGTGCTCGGGAGGTTGAATCTGTGGTCAAATCCACCGGTGGTGATCAGATCGGAGGTGAGGAAAACAAAGATTCCTTCGGAAGTAACTCTGGTCGAAGAAATCGGACGAGTTTGAGTCCGCAAAGGTAAATCGGTTGCGTCTTCTGTTAGATCTAGGGTTGTGGGGGGAGGGGGGAACCGGTGAAAACCGGTGTTTTCCGGTGAGTCTTGGCCGTGACTCGTTCGAGTCGCGACTGAGTCATCTTCTGGCTTGAGTCAACATCCGAATTGGCTCGGGTTAACTCGGCGGCTTCCACATTCCGAATCAGGATTATTTTGGTTTTGATCCAGTTTAGCCGGTTCAACCGAAATTTTCTAATTGAACCGAGTTCGATTCAAAATCGAACCGGTTTAGTCGGGTTTAGGTCAAACGTTGACCAATCTTGGTCAATAGTTGGTCGGGGTAGGAAAACCGGACCGATTCAGGTCAATTAGACCGGTTCATGTCAATTAAACTGGTTCAGGTCCGGTATGGGGTCATTTGGACCGGTTCAAGTCAATTTAGGCCCGGTTCGGGAGAATTTTGGCCGATTTGGGTCTGTTTTGTCTAAATTGGGCTGGAATTGTCGATTTTAGGGTATGTATCGATAGGTTAAAGTCTAGTTTGTCTGGTTCTTGGTCATGATTGTCTGATTAGGACTAGGATTGGCTGTTGGTAGGTCTGATTGGTTCGATTGAGTTTAGAAGTATCCGGTTTAGGATTATTTCAACTGGTTTAGGGCAGGTCAGATTCTGTATTGAGTGGTTTACCCTTTTCTAGCTCGGGTTAGTATCAAATTGACTAAAAATAGGCCTGTTTAGAACTCTGATTAGCTATTAGAGTCATAGAGTATGGTATTCTATCCGGTTTTAGGCCTGAATAGCTGGATTTTGATTGGTTTAGCAGTCTAGAGGTCAGGGTAGACTTTAATAGGCAAGGACAAATCTGTAGGTGCCAAGTAAGTCTAGATTAAGGTCTAGTTTAGCCAAGTTGGATTATCCTAGTGCATTCTAGGGTCTGATCAGAAATAGATTAAGTCATTCTAGGCTTGATTTAGGTCTGATTAGGGGTTGAAGAGTCTGTATAGACTAAGGTTTAGGTCTGATCAGATTTAATTAGGTCGGTTTAGACTTAGTTTAGATCTTATTAGGTTCATTAAAGTCTGATCAGGGGTGGATAAGTCAATTTTGGGTTGGATTAGGTCTGATTAGGACTTAGATGGACAGAATAGACTCGGTTTAGGTCTAATCTAGGTTGATTAGGTCAGTGTTTGCCTTGGGATATGTCTGGTTAGATGTAATAAGGTCTTAGGTAGGCGGTTCTAGAGTCTATTAGGCCTGTTAGGTTGGAAAATACCTAGTTTTAGGTCCTCTTAGTTTCGATCTCATTCCTTATGTTAGGTTTCAGGTACTCCTAGGGTTGGTTACTCATTCCTAGATTCTAGTGTTGTTGGGAGGTAGGTTTCTTTAGCAATGTCTGCACAAATGCAGTGTCTTGACGTCGAGAAGTTCGACAGCAAGGGGGACTTCTCCTTATGGAAGGAGAAGATGGCCATAAGCCTTGAGATACTAGGGCTAGGTAACACGCTAGAGGATTGTCCATCCTCTTGGGAGAGTGCTGCTGAGGGGAGCCCAAAAACTACAGCTCGGGAAATCGAGGATTCGGGAGGCCTTACGACTCTTTCCGTCGGGTCGCTAGGGCCGGGGGCAAAGGGATCGGGTACTCTGCCTCTCAAAGAGAGACAAGAAAGGAGTAGAAGAGCTAGGAACCTCATAGTGCTGTGTCTAGCGGATCAAGTTCTAAAAAAGATCATATCCGAAAGGACGACCTTCGGAATCTGGAGGAAGCTAGAACGGTTGCATATAGAGCAATCTCTCCCAAATAGGATGTACCTCATGCAGAGGGTGTCGGGATACAAGATGAATCCCTCGAGGACGATAGAGGAGAATTTAGACATTTTTCATAAGCTATTGTTGGATCTTCACAACCTCAATGTGAAGGTTAAGGAGGAGTACTAAGCGGTCTATCTGCTTAACTCCTTTTCTCCTGCTTACGAGCAGCTCGAGAGGTCCTCAAGTATTCCCGAGCCTCAATTTCCATCGAGGAGGTGAAGGCGGCGGCTAAGATGAAGGAGCTAGAGCTTCTAGTACAGGGTACCCTTAATTGGGGTACGGGGGAAGGATTAGTGGACAAGGGCAAACTCGAAAAATCGGGTGGCGGGAAGAAGAAGGCCAAAGACCAAGTGGAGTGTTGGTATTGTGGGAAGAAGGGACATTATAAGAAGGAGTGTAGGTCCCGGAAGGCGAAGGAGGAGTAAAGGGGTAGTAGCCTCGGTTCAAGAGTATGATTCAGAGATACTCTTAGTATGCTCCGACTACTCCTCGGGTGGAGGTTCAGAGGTGAGGTCTCCACGTCTAGGTGGAGTTACCTCGGGTAGGAAGCTCAGGAGAAGGGGCGAACTAGGAAGTGTCGGGTTACCGGGTAGAGTCGATGAGGGTAGTAGCACTAAGGTCATTTCCTCTCGAGGTGGAGTACGTGCGTGCACGTGTTCCGAGCCTTCGGTAGAGTTCCTATAGATAGGGCAGGGTCGTCTTCATGGGGTAAAACCCGTGGGGGCACTTAGTCAGTAGGAGGGATCCAGGGTAGAGGTCATAGGCCGCTTGATCTTTACGGGGATCAAGAGTTAGGTTAGCTAATATGACTCAAGGTTAGTCTCGGGGCAGTCGGAGTAGACTCGGGAGACGGGTATATGTCGGGGTATGACCCTCGGGGAGCCATAGGTGAGGTATAGACTTCACCGGAGGGAGTCATTTAGACAGTCTAGGAAGTCATACTAGTCTAGGTCTTAGGTAGTCTTTCGGAAACGGAGGTGTCGGGGGACACTCGCTCGGGTAGGCTAGGTGCGTGTGTCATGTTGAGATATTTTTATGACACGCTCGGTAAAGACTCTTCTAAGAACGGTGTTCCAATGCGCCTTAGATCATGCCGGGAGGAAGAGTTGAATGGAAGTAAAGGGAAACGAATGGTTACAGATTTGGTGGCGTAGTTGTTTTTTCTTTCGTTCTTTTGCAGGTTTTTCGGAAGAAGATGGAGATTTGTTAATATGTCTTCAGTAAAACCTTGGTGTGGAGCAGAGGCTCTCGAAGCCTTGGATCGAGATGGAGGCTTCAAAAGGACGGAGGGGGAGCATCGTCATTTTGGCTGGGACGCATTATGAAACCCGTTAGGGTTTCATTTCTCTGTGGTTATTCTCGATTCTTCTGTTGTTGGCTCTTTGTTCTCTCTCCCTCATTCTCTGTGTTGAGAAGCCGATTTCGATCGGTTTCCGATGTGTTTTCCGACTGTAACCCTAACGACAAACATTGTTTCCTCTTGTTTCCTCTTCCCGAGACGTAGGTACCGAATGTTAGAACTCGGTACTGAACTCATAACTCTGTCTCGCATCTCTTTTTCTGTTCTTGCATACGAGTGAGCGAGGTCGGAGCAATCTGTGAGGTTTCGGAGGATAAATCTTCTACATTTTTAAATAGAATTTCTTATAATTTAAAATTTTATTTTCCAAACCTTTGTTTAAAATTTTTGAAAATATCTAGATTATTATTTTATGACATAATTACACTAGGTATAGAAAATCTGTTTTATTATATGTTCTTATATATAGCTCTCAGAATTTTGTAAATAAAGGAAGACAATCTGGTCGTATATATCATTCATAACAAGAAAAAATAACGTGTATTTTATAAGCAATTTTTTAAAATTCGTTTTTTTGGAAAATATTCTCAAAACCTTTATATGTATATGAAATCCAGTATGAATAATTTATTTAAAAAATGTTATAGAAACGGATGTAAATTTATAAAATTTATATTTATTATTTTTTGAAAAATATAACTTATCCTGATAAAATTTAAATGTATTTTGTAAAACTAACTCTTTTAATTTGTCCAAAGGGAAGGGATCGAGGAGGAGGTTTACAGGTTTCCAAGAACAGTTTACATGCAAAACTCATGATACTCTTCATTCATAGGATGTGACCAGAAGAAACATCAAACCCTAAAATACCTCAAAAAAAAAGTTATTACAAAAACTAGAAAACTAGGCAAACCCAGAAGATGAATTCCTATTTCTCAATTTTAAAAATCCCAACACAAAGTAGAAACATCATGCATATTTCGAGAGTTATGGTGCTTCTTCATGTTTCTTACATGTTAGTGTTGGTTATAACTGCACTTGCCTTAGTTACCATGGGAAGAAGAATAGAGACATCTTTGATCCCTCCGACGACAACTTCCAGTCCTTCTCCGGTGTCATCTGGTCTATCTCGGGATTCAAATTCTCTATATCAGGTGGAATATAAGAGTGTTTTTCCGGAATTCTACAGCGACTACGGGTTTTGGAATCCGACCCCAGTTTATGGAGGAGGCTTTCCTAATCCCGCACCGATTCCTCATGCCAGACCGGATCCCAAACCAAGAAAGAAGAAGCAGTAATGTAATATAGCTCTTGTATCATTATATGTTTCTTTATAGATAGCAATGGGATCTATGGAATAGTTATGTCTTAAAGGTGTTTTGCTTTGTTAATAACCAAGAAGACGTCATGGATTATATGTAGCAATATTTTAACCCCAATGTCTTGTAAAATTATGTACATTTCTCATCAACTGTGTATTAGGATTTGCATAAAATCATTCTCTTGGGATCGTAGGCAAATGTCAAAATCGTGATGAGATATATTGTACGATGATTTTGAAAGAGAAACTAAAAAAAATCCATCAATTCTCTTAGCTAAACCAAAAAATTTTATACTTTAAATTTAGGAAGAATAAAAAAAAAACACTGAACTTTTCAATTTTGACAAAAAAAACACCTAACTTTATTTTTTATCAAATAAACATTAAACTTTTTAAACGAATTTAAAAAAACATTATCCAAAAAATACATGAACTTGTATGAGATTATCAAAAAAACACTCTAACGTTTTTAGTGATTCAAAAAAATATATTAATTTTTTTCGATTGTAAAAAAAAAACTAAGTAAAATAATCTGACGTGTTTGCATTTTCTTGTGTCACGTCAGTGATTCTGTTTATTTTGACAATCGTAGAAGAGTTAAATGTTTGTTTTATCAAATTTCAAAAGTTTAATGTTTATTTGATAAAATAAAAAGTTTAGTGTTTTTTTTTGTCAAAATTTGAAAATTGAGTGTTTTTTTTTTGGATTTTTCCTTAAATTTATTATAAAAGTTCATCATTTATAGATTTTAGAAAAACAAACACTGATTCTATCATTTGTTTAAAAACAAATTTTATTTTAAACTTGTTATAAAAAAGCATCTATTAGTAGTGATAAAAAAATCGACTATCTCATTACTAAAAAACATTATATATTAACTTTGTTATAAAAATTTAACAATTAAAAAACATATATAAAATATATAATTCTAAATATCATAATAAAAACTTAATATTTATATAAATCTATCACATTATAATACTTAATATTAATATAAACATTTATAAATATCATCTTTTGCATAATACATTTTTACATAAATGTTCTACTTTTAAATATATTTTATTGATTACAATTTTATATTTAACATTTTGTATTCAATTAATATTTGAGATAGTTCAAACTATCAATTTGTTTTTTTTTTTTTAACTTTAGTAACTGAAATGTTATATAGTGCATAGTTTACATATAAATTAATTATAACAGAGAATATAAATTTTCAAAAAATAAAATAAAAATATGAGTAATTGAATTTAAAATGAAAAGTTAATATAGTTGTATAATAACTTTTAAATACAAAGCTTTTTTACATATAAGTGATGAATTTTTAAATGTAAAATATAATTTTTTTTTTAAAATAAATTAGATATTTAATGAAATTTTTTCACAATTACGTTTTCATATCAAATTTATAATAAAATATTTTTTTAAAATAATTTAGATAGTTGACATTTTTAATCAAAACTAATAGTTAACGACATTTTTTTATAACAAATCTAAAGTTGATGATTGTTTTTTTAACTAGTACAAAAGTTGATATTTACTAGTAAGTTTTACAATAAATTTAAAATATAAGATTTTTTTATTTTGGCCCCTTTTGGAAATTGACAGCTTTAATGGTCTTGAAGAGTAATGCCTGTGAATATGTTAAAGCATAAGAAGACTCTAAATGAGTCAGAAGGTTTCAAGCTGCTGAAAACCTTGGGAAGAACCAGAGGCTTTGGTCATCGTCTCAAGATAAAAAGGACGCCACTTCTTCTGAGTCAAAATAGCAGAGTGTATACAATTTTCTTCAGCATTTCTCTCTCTGATTCTTTACGCGAGCTTGTATCTGTACCAAGTTCATTTATAGTGAAATCTCTCTCTCCCCCGAGACGTAGGATCAACTATACTGGTTGATCTGAACTCGTAAATCCTTGTGTTCTTGTGTGTCTTTCGTTCTTTCAGATTCGAGTGTTCGTCGTTCCTGGAATCGGAGGTTTAGGGTTTGTGCAAGTTCGTCAAGATCGACATTTCACAGATTCCGGATAAACAGTACAAGTGGTATCAGAGCCCGGTTCGTTTGAGGGGCTATCGATTTGAGGGAACAAGATTAGAGCAGAGAAATTTCGGAACCAGAAGGTTGAAATGGCAGCTCTTATGCAGAAACTCGATGTGGAAAAGTTCGATGGTAAGAACGACTTTGTCCTATGGAAAGAAAATATCCAGATTGGGCTGGAAATTATGGGATTGATAGATACACTTCAAGATGATCCGTCAACATGGATACCGGATCAAGAATCGAAGATTGGAGAAGAGATGAAGACCCCAATGCAATGCATTATTCCAACTGAATCTACAGGAGAGGCTTCCGTGATATCAGAGGTTGGATCAGTAGGAAAAACAAGTTTCTCTACAGCAGAAGGTACTGGGAAAACGACTGGAAGAACCTACCAAGAACGAGCAGATAGAAGCAGGAAAGTGAGAAATTTAATAGTGTTATGCCTATCTGATCAGATTCTTCGGAAGGTAATCCAAGAAAAGACAGCTTACACCATTTGGAGATTGTTAGAACGAATGTTCTTGGAGCAATCACTGCCGAATCGTATGTACCTAATGCAAAGAATCTCCGGATTCAGAATGGACGAAAGGAAAACCATTGAAGAGAATCTTGATGAGTTCCAAAAGATTTTGTCTGACCTACAAAGCTTGCAAGTGAAAGTTGAAGAAGAATACCAGGCTGTATATCTCCTTAACTCTCTTCCTCCACCGTATGATCAACTCAGAGAAGTTCTCAAGTATTCAAGGGCTACCATCACTCCCGAAGAAGTAAAAGCAGCAGCTCGTTCAAAAGAAATGGAACTTAAAGCTCAAGGGAAAATTGGTAAAGGGTCAGGTGAAGGGTTGAATGCAAGAGGCAGATCACAGTTCAGGGGAAAGCCAGGGAAGAAGTCTCGGTCTCGATCGAAGTCCAGAAACAGAGAAGCCGAGTGCTGGCATTGTGGAAAGAAAGGCCACCTGAAGAAAGATTGTTATGCCAGAAAAAGGGAAATGGGACAGAATGGTTCCGAAAACTATGAGGCAGATATGGCAAGAGGAGGCAGTCTCGACTCAGAAGTCTTGATCATAGAACAACCAGTAGCACTAAATGCAACTACAAGAGATGAGAAAAATGAGTGGGTCCTGGACTCAGGGTGCACGTTCCATCTGTGCCCAAGAAGAGAGTGGTTTTCGGAATTCGAAGAAGGAGACACGGGTGGAGTCAGAATGGGTAATGATACAACATGTCGGATATTGGGTATCGGTAATATAAGGCTGAAGACACATGATGGCTCAGAAGTGACCCTGTCACAAGTTAGATACGTCCCTACACTTCGAACCAATCTGATATCCCTCGGAACCTTGGAAAAACAAGGATGCTGGTATAAATCTCAAGATGGTTGTCTGAAAGTGATAAAGGGGTGCAGAACTGTACTAAAAGGTAACTTACAGAATGGTCTGTATATCTTAGATGGAAAAACAGCAGAAGGAAAGGTCTACTCAAGCCAGAGAATCCAGGACAGAACCAAAATCTGGCATACAAGGTTGGGACATATGTCACTAAAGGGAATGCAGATATTGGCCAAGAAAGGAGTAATAGATGGGTTCAACATCTCAGATATGAATACCTGTGAGTTCTGTATTTTTGGAAAATCTCACAGACTATCATTTGGAGTAGGAAAACATTCAACAAGGGAGGTCCTTGAATATGTGCACTCAGACCTTTGGGGGTCACAGAACATGACTCCATCAATGTCAGAGTATAGGTACTTTATGTCATTTGTTGATGACCATTCAAGGAAAGTATGGATCTATTTTCTAAGAAAAAAGAATGAAGCATATGATCGGTTCCTTGAATGGAAGAATCTGGTTGAGCGACAGACTGGAAAAAGGCTGAAGACCCTAAGGACGGACAATGGATTAGAGTTCTGTAATAAGAAGTTCGATGATCATTGTTCTCAACAAGGAATCCTCAGACACAAAACCTGTGCATATACTCCACAGCAAAACGGAGTAGCCGAAAGAATGAAGCGAACAATAATGGAAAAGGTGAGATGCATTCTGTCAGATTCTGGACTACCTCAGGTGTTTTGGGCTGAAATAGCATATGCCAGTGTACATCTCATCAATAGATCTCCATCCACTGCAATAGAATTTGAGGTTCCAAATGAGGTATGGTCGGGAAAAGAGACGGGATATGGACATCTGAGGAGAATAGGATGTGTGGCATATGTGCATGGAGACCAGGGAAAGCTCATGCCGAGGGCAAAGAGAGGTTTTTTGATAGGATATCCAGCAGGGACAAAAGGATACAAAGTTTGGTATCCAGAAGAGGACAGAATTGTGATCAGTCGCAATGTTCGATTTGTTGAAGAAAAAGTCTACAGAGAGGTTCAAGATCAGAATGAAGGGCAGAAGCAGAGTTCAGAAGAAGAAAGAAAAGAGGTAACACAACTGCCACTTCTTCAGGAACGAACTAGCAAAGAGAATTGTGATCAACCGCAAGGTGGAGCTGAAGCCAAATCTGAATCCCAAATAGAACAAGAGGAGACAGGATTAACACCATCAGAAAAAGAACATATGTCATTCCATAGGAATGATGGAAGTGTCCCTCCAGAACTGCAGAATCAACTCATCGACTATGTCCTGGCCAGAGATAGAGAGAAGAGTCTGAGAAAAGCACCAGCAAGATTAAGAGATATGGATATGGATACTTCAGCATTTGCGTACTCAATAGCCCTGAACGTAGACATAGAAGAGCCTCAGAGTTATCAAGAAGCCAGAAAGCACAGACATTGGAATTCCTGGGACCAAGCAATGAAAGAGGAAATCGAGTCCTTGAACAAGAACAAGACCTGGGTTCTTACAGATAGACCAAGGGAAAAGAAGGTAATAGGCTGTAAATGGGTCTACAAGTTGAAAGCTGGAATCCCTGAAGTAGAGCAACCCAGATACAAA